ATAACATTCAGCCACTTTTCCAAAGATCACTTTATCAATTAAAAAAAATATAGGTTGTACAGTATCATTTCAGTTCTACTTTACTTTACTTTATAAGTGAAGGAAAACACACCTACAGGCTTATTCACAATAAGCTTAAAAAAGTCAAATATCAATTTCTCAAGCTTCTAGCCAGATCAGTATCAGTTTACACCTTTCTAAATACTAGAAGAAACTTCATTAACAATAGTTTTCACCAATAAATCAGGGAAAACTCAAAGATCATAAAATCTAGAAAGATATCAAAGGCTCCTAAGAATTAAACAATAGAGTATCCTGATTTTATATACACCTGTCTAAATAACAAAACAAGTTATACACATTAAATAATATAGTATTAAAACAATATAGCAAAATTCATTAAGAGTCTATAAACAAATGACTTATTCTTTACAATAAAAAAGATCAACAACCATTCTAGTAAATAAGTAGATTCATATAGAAATCAACAACTCATTTGAGTAAACAAGAATTCAAACAAAATAACAAACACTAATTGAAAAAAATTTATTCAGCATACTGCCACTTATGTAATATTTGGCAAAAAATAAACAGTTCAACGAAAAAAAAATTATTTGGCATATTGTCACTTGTGTAATATTCGACAAAAAATAACAAATTATTAAAAAAATGACATAAATAAATCAGCAATTATAAAAATCTGCATATTAACAATTTGTCAAAAAATTTATTAACAATTCATCAAATAATTCATTGACAATTTGACAATAATTTATTAAAAATTCATTAACAATTCATTAAATATTCGACAACTATTCATTAAATTATTCATTAAAAATTCATTGACCATTTATTAAAAATTCGGTAACTATTTATTCAAAAATTTATAAAACTTGTGAAAAAAATCATTTATATTTATATATTATTTGATATTATTTACATAATAATACATAATTAATTAAATTATAATAATTTTTTTTTTTAACTAGTCCAACTGACAGGACGAATCTTTATTTGAGAAATCAGTAGTATATTTTTGGATTACATGAGCAATTCATATAACCTTATTTTTAACTACCTATTCTAACCAAAGTTTGTAAATTTTACCACGTTGATGATACCATTTTCATCAGTTGCCCTGCTCTGCCCAGAACTATAGCATTCCGAAAGGCCACTATGGATTTTTTTTTATTAATCTTCAAGGGGCTGTGTTGTGAGTTCCTTAGTAGAGTCTTTGTTTACTGTTTGATAATTGTGAGTTCCATGGATGATCCCTGCCATATTTGGGTCCTCCGCAGTCTAGTTGAAACTTAGATAGTGCAAATCTCTGGTTATGTTCTTGATATCCAGACAATTCAATGGTGTCACGTAATTGGGTGGCATATAGCCTTCCATTGCCTCATTTTTAACCACTCTTACAAGTTGGCCTTATAGAGGTTTCTCTTGATTACTTCATAACAGATTGCTTCTCCCATTGGATTGGTTATCTTGGTGATTGTTTCTGAATTTCTTCTTCCAGGATCTACCCCTACAGGTTGCCCAACGTGGCACTAATGCTAACCACCAGCCTCCACAATAGCTGTCCTCTTTGGTAGTCATTGATTTTGCGATCATAGAGATCTTCCATTAATTGTTGTTATGGTCTGTTACATTTCGATAGGTACAAATGACCGAAGTTTCCCATATCTCCTATAGGGTGTAGTTTTGACAAGAGATGGATGTCCTTCCTATTTCTGTTAAGAGGCTTGAACCGATCAACATTTTTCCTGGCTTGTCTTGAATCTATACATATTTCAGGTGGCAGGTTTATTGAAGATTTCCTTAGCACTAAAACTGGCCAAGGCTTGAATGACCTGAGTTTTACACTGTGATTAGATGGTAGAAATCTATAGATTATTTGTGAGTACAGAGATGCATGTAGTGATGAGTATGCATCTTGTACAATATAACCTATATTGTGAAAATTGTTCCTAGATGAGATAGAACCAGTAATTTGCGGATGATGAACTGGGAGTGCATCCACTGCACTATTGATCCACAGGTCTATTAAATTATAATAATATAAATAATATATCATATATTATATTATAGTTTGTATTATTCATATTTATAAATATAACTTCAATTCAAAAAAGTTCGTGCATAAGTTTATCAATTTTTTTACTTTATTGCTGATGAATAGTTGCCAAATTTTTAATGAATAGTTAATGAATCTTTAATTGAATTGTTAATAAATAATTTTGTGATGAACTTTTAATGAATTATTACTGAATTGTTAATGAATTATTGTCAAATTGCTAATGAATTATTTGACGAATTATTAATAAATTTTTTGATAAATTGTTAATATGCCAATTTTTGTAGTTATCAATTTATTTATGTCATTTTTTTGCTGAATTGTTTATTTTTTGCCAAATGTTATATAAGTGGCAGTATATCGAATAATTTTTTTTTTGTCTAATTGTTTATTTTTTATCAAATATTATATGAGTGGCAGTATGCCGAATAAAATTTTTTCGACTAGTGGTTGTCACATCTACTTCTAGCATTTTAGCTATGATACTATCTAGAATAGTATGTTTTTCTGATGACAAGACTACTGATTTACTGGATTTATTATTTATTTGTTTTAGTAATTGTTGTAAAGTCCATAAAATAAAGTGTTTGTTATATTTTATTGAGAAATTGATTAAGATGTTTACTATATTCTCTTCTTTTTTACTGATTATCTGCAATATATGTTATGCTTTATTCATGTTTGCTATTGATTTAGATTTATTGATAAGTCATATGATTGCTTGTTTATATTTATCAGTTATTTTATTTTTGGATTGTGAATAAACCTTTCTGAGGTTGTTATTGTTTATATTTTTGATTAAGTAATATGAAAAATCTTGTTGTATTGTTTTAATATATTTATTTATTTATATTGAAGATTCTATTCAATTTTGCAAGTTATTATCATGTTTGTGTAGAATGTCAATTAACTTGTTTAGATTACAAATTATATGTATACATGTGTATTTTGTTTGTCACTTTTATGTATATACTTGTTTTGCTTGTTCACTTTTATATGATCATATTTATGTAACAAAATGGAGAATAGGTATGTTGTTTATGTGTGTATGCATATTTAGACTGTCTTGTTCTTAGGAAGCTTTAATATTCTTCTAGGCCTTTAAGTGACTGAAGTAATTTGATTTATTAAGTAAACTTAGTTGCTTCTTGGATTCCTTGCAGTATTAAGAAAGGTGTTAACCTGTACTGGCTTGGTTATAAGCTGTGTGAAATTGATATTGGCTTCTTTTTTCTGATTGTGAATCAGTTTACAGGTCTCTTTTCTTTCTTCTAAAAATTTTAATAAAAAAACGTAAAAGAAAATTAGTAAAACAATGTATACCTTTTTCCTTGGTATTTCTAAAAGGCTTGTTGTATGTGTGTTGCAAAAGTTTGATAGCTTGGTTTAAAAGATATATTATTTTTCTTTGTATATTTGATCAGGTTTATTTTTTAAAAAAATTGTTAAAAAAGAAAATTTTTAAGAAAAAGAAGGATTAGTGAAAAGATTTTTTTATATCAATAATATTATTGAAACAAGCTTTAGTAATATATATTATATCTATATTATAATTTATAAAAGTTTAATAAAGTATCTATTATATAATTAATAAATTATTAAATTAATATTAAAAAAAAAATCAAATATATTTATCATTAATAAAAACTTAAATAATTAATTAAGTTAATTTTCTTTTTTTTTTTAAAGAATTTTTTTTATCTTAATTAAATTAAAAATTTATATAATAATAATAATAATTGAAAATAATTTATTTAAATAAAAACAATATTTTAAGAGTTTTCATAAGAAAGCACAAGTCAACTATCAAAGGTAATAATTGAGATTTTTACATTTTCTAAGGAATTCTAAGTAAAGGTATTTGAAATATAATTAATATTACACAAAGATAATTGAGAAATTTAAAATATAATCAAATTATATATTAATATTTTTATTATTATATATAAGCAGATATTTAATATTTTTATTAAATTTAATAAATATTATAAATAAAATTTTCTTCTTCTTATATAAACTGTATAGTAAAAAATAATATAACTAACTATTCTATCTATTTTTTTAGGTTTTCTTATTTTAAAATTTTTATCAACACTAGTGATTCTTTACTAATTCTCATTTTTCAAAAAATAACAATATATTCAAGGTTGATTTCAATGATCATATTGTTTAATTTTATAGATTTCAATTATTTCTTTATATATACTTCACATTATGAAATATATTCAATAAAGCTAAGGGTGAATCGGTATAAAAAAAATTTTTTTAATTAAAAACATTAATCATAAATGTAGCATTCAATAAATGATGAAAATCAGTTATAGTTATTTGTTTTAAAGTTTTTTTTTGTTTATATTGTATTGTTGTATTATGTGTTTCAACCCATCACTCTGTCACATGATCGAGTCAAATAATCGATGTGTGCAATCTTCATCGATTATCGACCACCATTTGTTGTTCGTAAATGGTTGGTTAAAATTTGGAGATTCAAAGGCCAGGATCGGTAATTTGAAGTCGTTCGCTAACAGGATAACATACAAGAGTAATTTTGCTAGTAGATTAATAACAGTCAGATGCGATCCATGATGCGAAGAGTACGTGATGAATAATAGCTCAAGAGTTAAACCCGTATATACCCGTTATTATTGACCATATATGGTTGGTATTATACGTAAGTGCACAAAGAATCCCAGGGTAGATCTTAAGTATTTATTTGTTTGTGTTGACGTATTTTCTCAATTGTGTAAGTTAATATAACTTCGTCCTACCTAGCAAAAAAAAAAAAAATGATGTTTTTTCAATAATTCAGTAATTGAAGGTGGTTAATTGACACACCATCGTTATTGTCCAATTTTTTTTCTTATATGGTACCTTTTTTTCATCAAATCCAAGTTCTGAGAATTATTTTTTAGCGTAAAGCCCTATGCCTGCCAGACGTACAGTGAACTCTTCGGGTGCTAGCGCATACAACACCCCCTCTAGCTCACAGCAAAGTAGCACAAAGAACAAAAGAAGTCCACAAAAGAACGGTATCTCTGACAGCGATGGTGGAGGAAGTAGTGGTAATTCGCCAAAGTACACGGCATATGTGAGGGAGCGATCTTACGACGATTTAAATGATAACCCTTTCGCAAGGGAAGAAGCCTTTCTCAGAGCGATGTCGGAATCAGACACCTGGGCCTCAACATTTGTACCACAAAGTAGTATCGATAGTATCTATTCGGTCGGGAAAAACGACATCGAGCCCTCCGCATTGAATTTTAGCGGGGATAACACAATCGGCTCTCGTGATATCCACAATTCGGCGCCCATATCTTCCGTCACCGCGACTGCGACTGCGACTACGGCCAGTCGGAGAAATGGACTGCTATGGTTATTCGTGATATTGTTGACAACACTGTTTATGCTGAGTTTATTCGAGAGTCCACTGATCGAAAAATACATACCGAGCTTTCCATCTCCTATTAAAATTCAGCTGTGGCCGGTAAATAATGCAACATATCTAATACAAAATATGGGAGAGCGCGATGATAACGGCGGCATAACAAAAGATGGTAAAGGGGACAATGATGAGATACTGTTAACAATGGATGACCTAAAAAAATTGATTGCAGCGGAAGTGAGAAATTCATGTGTGGGGAAAGGAGTCAATGCACCTGCAATTGGGCCTAATCCGGATCACGTCCGTGACCTCATTTCTAAAGAGGTGAGATCATTTTATAGATCCGATGCACAAAGAATACGCGGTAATAAATATTATAACCTGGATGCGATCATGGATCTTGTACGTAAAGAGATATCCAAGGAACTTCTGGTTTTTTCACAGGACACCTTGAAATTACCAGACTTCGCATTACATTCCGGAGGGGCAAGGATTATAAGCGCATTCACGAGCGAGACATATGAGGTGTGGCCGGAAAAGTGGTATTCAAAGATATTTGCACATGTATCAGGTCAAGGAATTCTGCGTGGAAAACCGCCGGTCACGGCTATATCACCCGAGACATATGTCGGACAGTGTTGGCCATTCCCGGGACAAAAAGGACAATTAGCTATTTTGTTAAATAGGCGTGTTTATGTTAATGCTGTCACCTATGATCACGTCAGTAAAGATGTTGCTATTGAAGTGATGAGTGCTCCCAAAGAATTTGAAGTTTGGGGTATCGTGGATGATGGCAAAAGTGAAAGGGGCAAACCAACAGCGAGTAATGAATTAGATGAAGTTGAAGATGAAATATTCATGGAGTCAACTGAAGAAGAGTGTGGGATACGCGAGGATGGACAATACATATCAGATTGTGACAACAACGCAAACACAGCGCAGAACGCCAATTCAAAAGCTTTGAGCGATCTCGATCCCTCTCTTGGATCGACACCACTGTATTTCCATTTGGGAACTTTCATATACGACATCAACGGATTACCAGTGCAAACATTTAATGTGTCACAAGAAGTCCTCAAAAACAACAAACCGGTCCGAACGATCATCATGAAAGTGAAAAGTAATTGGGGAGAACCAAAGTATACATGTCTCTACCGATTCCGAGTACATGGAGAACCTGCGACAAATAGGGCAATCAATAACGCCGAGATGGACTTGTAAATTAGACTGGGTGGCGTTCCCCTACGGGTCATCATTAATTTCATATAATCAATGCATTAGATTCCTTTTTTATTGTGGCATATTCCTTTTTTTCTTGTTTTTTATTGTTTATATATATAAATTTGTACTTGTTGATTTTAATTTTCTTGTACCTTCTTTTTATTAAAATTTTTTTTCGAAATTGTAGATTTACACACACGAATAATAACTTATTGAATCCCGATCAAACTTTGTACATTTATTTTATAATAGTAGATGGTCAATATCACAATGTAACCAAAATACCGTCTGAATTGATTAGATCTCTTTGGCAGATAATTGCAAACCTTGTTCCAATAACCACGAGTAAGCTGACGAATGATCGGTTTGCTAGTTGAGTTCGGTTCCTTCTGCTCAAAGTCTTACCGCGTTTTCCAAAATGATATATCTTTCCTACACTCATTGAAACCATTTCTTTCTCCATTGTTCTTTGCGGCTTTCTCAATGGCTTCTCAATCGAAAGGTTATGAAGATGTGCATTGGTTTATAATGGAATAACAGTTTACATTAAATTGAACTTTTTATTTCTTATATTTTAAAATGCTTTTAAAGAAGACATCATGTTTTTTTTCCTTGACAGCTGGCAAGACTTTGCTTTGAAAATTCTGCTTCATCCGAGGAAGGAGACGAGAAAGAATTGTTTTGTGAGTGTAACACTTGTGCGAATGCCTCCAACATATTTTGCAAGGGGAGGAAAAAAAAAAAAGAAAGAAAGAAATCCCAACCTGTTTTTAAGTGTTAAAACATAAGCAAAGACCTGCTCCCATCTTTCCAAATGAATGCTAAAATCTTCCACCACCACATTTGACAGTCACCTCTGAAATCCGGAATCCCCATTTTACGCTCTTCACATGATAATATTCTGAGAGGATTAGGACGATACATGATATCATAGGTAAATATGAATATAATTATAAAAAGCTATACAGATAATAAACATATAAACACAAAAATACTGATAACGAGAGAGGCACTCTCTGACTTGTGTCTAATAGACCAATAAAAATGTAATATAAAATAAAGAAAAAAATAATATGATGATTTTGTGATCGTCCAGCGAGCAGGTAATGACTAGGTAAAAATTAAATTATCATTTATGTTTAGTTATTCGAGAGGAGTTGACCTCTTTTGTTTCTTTTTTTTCCTTTTTTCTTTTTTTCTTTTTTTTTTTTTTCGAACACACATAGGTATATTATATAATATCACATGCCCGTATCTTTAGATTTTATATTTCTTTCTGTCAAGGAAAATCAACTCTCCCGATGCCATCAAGGTCATTCATTAAAATGAACACTCATGAACTGTCCTCATCTCCACTTTTTTGGATAAACAGTTTTTCTTTAACCTCCGAAGCAAGATCATCACTTGCGCTCAATTTGGCGACAGCCGCTTGAAGCCGTATCTGTGAACTTGAAAGTGTTTCTTGCAGATAAATCGAGGATGCTCGCGACAAGGGAACTTGCTTATATGATCCCGTCGATATAAGTTCACGCATTGCTTTCTCACAAAATATCTCAAGCGCCTTTTCCAGCTAAAAATATAAAGAAATATTGATTTGTTGTTAGTCATGTGTTGTCATTTTTTCGTGTTTAGGAAAGGTATGAAATCGCCAAGAAACATACATGTATCTTGCCTGTATCGGTCTGTTTGACAACTTCTGTTACGTTGAACTGGTCAAATTTAATGTCAAATCGGAATTTCACGGCACTTAATTTAATATAGAACGTATGTGAATATTTAAAAGGTTATGACAAAATATCGCACCCGAATGATCATCAACACTTACGCAGCAAAGAACTTCAGATTTTCGGTTGCACGATAAGTCCTTGATGTGTCCTCATGGATTTTATCGATAAAACCGAATGGTCTTTTGGAACGTCTTACTATCGTATTATATATGATGCACAGTAATTTACCATCACTGTATTTAAAAGAAAGGAGGCGTAGAAGTTAATTAAATAAATGGACGTCACTTTGGAATATCAAATTGAGCACGGAGAATGCATACGCTAAAGCGGCCAAAAATTCTGCCTTATTATCAACCGGATCGGGAAGTGGAGAGTAATCGGCTGCCTGCTTAGATTTCGATGGACGATGGGCTTCCAAAAATGCGCGATACCGGGATATGGTATTCCCGCCAAAGGCTTCCGGATCCACCCAATCCCTGTTTGGATGTCCAGGTGACAGGGGGGGTGTTATCGAAGCCATACTTTTATCTTGCTTATCTTCTTCCGTCGATATTCCCAGATGCGAAACATCTTGATAACTTTCATGATCTTCGAATAATAAACAATCCCCCACAACTTGAAGGTACTTTCGTAAAACTGCTCGTTGTTTATCCAACGATTGATAATTCGATTCCTTATATATGTGACCATCTTCGCTACTGCTATCGTCTGTATCATCATCCCGATGCTCTTTCTCCAATTCGCTGATCATCTCGAGAACTTCTAGTGCCACCGCTCTAACCTTGATGAGTGCATCATCTGATAAGTCTTCTTTATACATAGAGTAGTTCTTTACAGATTGTATTGTTTTTGTGGTGGATTCAATGGCCGCTAAAATGTCAACTGGTACTTGATCCTCTTCCGCCTTCACTTCACCAGTAACCATACACCATGCTTCAAGCATCTTTTGTATCTCAGCATGGCAATTGGCTAGCAGGACATCTGAATCAGTCTCGATATCTAATTTGGAAGTTAGGAAGGATGGAAGTGGTGGCGGGGATGGTGGTAGTGGAGTAGGTGGAAAATCTTCGTCAGGCTCTTCGGAAATCTGTAGGAGGTCTGATACATTTGTATTTATGCTAAGTTTCTCCGCCTCTTCTCTTTAAATTGAAAAATTAGCATGCTTTAGTTGACCAAGCTTTAGCAGAAAAGTAATCATAATATGATTGAAGTACATACTGGCGTTTTGTTTTTTTAGGTTTAAATATTATGCCCCTTTTTGCGTAGAAATGCTGCAAATGTGTAATGCTACCTAGGGCCAATACGGATTGACGCTTCCTGGCACTCTTTGCAAACTCCCGAGGCTTAGAAGGCTTCTTGTAACCACGTTTAGGTGAAGCAAGTGCTGGCACGCTGAAACCTCTGTTCAATTGTTTCTCCGCTGGCTCCGTGACGAAGAAGGTTGGGTTAGGGATCGTAGGTATACTCTGGTGTCTCGAAGAAGAATCCATGGCTAACCGTTATTTTTTTGTTTTCAATGATAATCTTTTTGCTTATCGGATGAATTATAAAAGAAGCGATATCCGTAAAACCTGTTATTGTCAAGTTTATGGGATTTCACAATGAAAATCAACTGTCCGGAAAACGAAAGGAAGGGAAAAAAGGGTAGGGAGTTAAAGGTTGGTATTGTGGAAAGGACAGAAAAAGAGTGGTTTGAGAGATCGTGAAAAGGAATGACGATTTTTTAAAAAATAAAGGAAAGTTTAGTAGCTATAATTGTTGGATGAAGGATTCTGCAATTATAAAGTCTACTTACTGTATATACTTTTTTGTTACGTAGGCTTTTTTCTAACGTGTACACACGATACACTAAAGTAATGCAGAGATTGTACGAATAATAATGCTCAAGTTTATTTTGATTGGATTTACATAAGAATAATAATGTACAAATTTCGCAACACAAAATGTGCAAAGTTTCGTTAATTGAAATTCTTCCTTCTTGGATTTCGAAATAATGCAAAAAAATTTAGTTGACGACGAAATGGAATGGACTTATATAACGAACGTCGATCCGACCACGTTCGTTCGCAAGAAATTTCAGCCACAACCCAATGATGGCTCATTCCCCAAAAGATTCTACGGGAAAATTCGGTTACGTAATCTTTCCGCTCTTGGACATAATGTTAATTCCCGCAGCAGCATTCCATTAACGCTACAATACTCCTTGCGAAATTTTAAGTGCGGTTGTTCCAAATTTAGAATTGATACAATAATAGTAAACAATCTATAAATTACAAATTGTTGAGGATTCATCGACAAGTTAAAAGTGTACCTGTCGACCAATTATTGCCAACGTCTGGATGAAAATTACCCGTGTTCTATATTAGTACGTACGTATGTACATACGGACATTAGGCCGGAGTTGATAGGTGCGAATATTTCATTGTCTTAAACATATTTTGTAAATATGAAATTTAAAACTAATCAAAATAATTTCCTTTCAATCTTTCAATTTATTAATTTATATGAAAGCTCTCTTCGTGAACTTGTTTTAATAAACCTCTCTTGCATTAAAAATTATTTTATATATACTTCTAAAATTAGTCAAGTGTCTGGTCATTATTTTACATTATGTTATGTTTGTTGGTTTTTTTTTTCTCCTTGATCAAAACAGGAAATCAGGAAATTGAGTAAACACGTATGGCTTAAACCCTCGAGCATGCACATGTAGAATTGTCATCCAAGCCGTTACCCGAATTAAGCCATTTTGGGTGGATCACACGAATTAAATTCTACCAAACCACAAAATCGTGAAAGCTCAGACATCACCGTCTCTATCATCTGTACGATTTAAATTCACCTTGTGACCTGCCCTGATAACTATTTACTTACGTATGTATTTAGACAACAAGGGATTTTCCGCTGCACGGTACTCGTGTGATATGCCTCCATCCTTCTAAAATGTTTGTTTATCTGCATCGCGAGAACCACTGATAAAAAAATCTGTATTCTAAGGCGGGCATAAATGGAAACGAATGTTTGGGGCGAATGTGTACATATCGCCGAAATTAAATTCGTACCCCGAAATTAAAGATCGGACCCTGAAACTAATCTTTGTGACCCAAGGAGTTAGGGCTTCATCTGCTGGTTTTTTTTTCTTTGAGAACAATAGAGCAAGCATCAATTTACTGTATGAACATTCTGTATCATTATATACAGTTGCATATATTTTCTTCATTTATTGCTTTACTAGACACATACAGTATACTGATTTCCTTACAGCACATAAAAATAAGGGAATAGGAGATTAATTCCATATAATAAATGTAAGTTCTATATATTGATTAAATATCTTGCATCTTATTTGTTTAATATTTACTTGATAATAAATTTAAGTAATTAATTATCGTTATAATATCAATTATTTTTTTAATTAGAAAAATAATTTCGATATTTAAGTTCAAGTTTATTTATACTTTATTATTATTATTTTTTATTTTTTAAAAAGTAACAAATAATAATATTTGTAATAAAAGTTATATTTGATTTAATTTTTATACTTAGTGAAATAGCTTTTTAAAAGAATAAATTTTCAATAAAAAAAAAATCAAGAAGTATTTATTTTAATAAAGAAGAAATTTATTTAAAATATTTTTAATTAATGTCTCATATTTTACAAGGAATACAATTTGTTTAAAATCTTTATTTATGATTTTTTTAGTTCTAATATCAAGTAAAAATATTCAATCTTTTTAATATCAAGAAAAATTATTATTACTAATTCAATAGAAATTTATTTTACTAAACTTTAAATTATTTATAAGGCAAAAAAAAAAAGTTAAAATTAAAAAATCATATTTTTTATATTTCAAATATTAATTATAAAATAAAAACTAATTAAATAATTTTTTTTTTTTATATTAATATGATACAATTAATTATTAAATTTAATATTTTTAAATCTATTAATACAAGATTTTTTTTTAAATTTATAATTATATAATTAGAATTAGAATTAAACAAAATCAAGTCTTAACTAAATATTTTAAGTCAAATTTAAAAAACAATATTATACCTTTTTTGATAGTTTCATATTTGATTTTTAATTATTAGAATTATCATTAACAGTTTATTACTATAAATTATTCTAAAAACAATAAATTGTATAATTAGAAAGAAAAAAAAAATAAAAAGTATAATTAAAAAAAAAGAAAAAAATAAATAAATTAAAGTTTTTTCAAAAATTTTTTAAAAAATTTTTATTTATTAAAATATATTATAACTTTACAATATTTAAATAACTTAACTATTTTTAAATAATAAAGTTTAAAAAAAATATTTAAAAAATTTATTTATTATTAATATATAAATATATTTATTACTATTATTAATATTAGTAACAAAAAAAAAATTTTTTTTCCATTGATCCCTTAATCACATACAAAAAAGATATTCACAAGAAAATTTTTATTTCTTTGCTAATAAAATCTTAATACTATCCTTAAACCAACTTGAAGTTTTATTTCAAAAGATATTTTCAAACTCTTTCCCTTATTTATATTCATTTTCAAACAAAAACTTGGCTTCCTGTGATCTAGAAAAGTCAAGAAATACTTTCTTTATCAATGACAAGAAAGTTTTGCAAAGAAGAAAAACTAATAATATAATACTTGAAGCTTTTTATATTAAAGCATGTCTATAGAGGTTTCTAGTAGTAGGAGACAATGAACATTAAGTCATATTTCAAAGTATCTGTCCACTGTATCTTCCTTCTTATAGTTACACAAATTTTTTTTTTGATTTTCTGGAAAATTTTATCTACTTTAGTTTGATCCTAAATTTTAGGTAACACAATCCATTGCAAAATATGATTGGTGGACATAAAACACATTAGTAGTTGAATATAAACAAATACATACTGGTCACTTTATATGTTCCAATAATGTCATTGGTGAAAGAAAGAGAATCTATTGATGTAAATTCTCCACTCCTTCAAATAAAGTGTAATTGAAGTAAAGAAATTATAAGATCATTAGAACAGGCATTAAATTTCTCAAGTGATGAAAAAATGATTATTTGTTCAAGCTGAAATCTTCAATTTCTTATTATTCCAGTCAGGCAAAGTACATAAATGAGATTATTTTCTTTTTCCAATTAGGTAATAATATTAAAAAGAAAAAGAATGTGAGCCACTACCCTTCTCTAGAATTGAAAATATATTTTCCTAGACATTGTATAATGATATTGTAATTAACGAGAATCCCTATACTATATAAAACCCTCTTACTATTGCAAGGCAAAAAGATTATTGGGGAATCTGAATTTTTTAAACAAGAGAAGATACTTACCAGTAAAATTCTTTTAACTAGGTGTGACTGCCAAAAGATATTGATAGTTATACAATATGATTGAAAGATCACATAAAAATCTGGGATCCATCATAAGTCATTACTTGGCATGGATGGATATAAAATCAAAGAAAGTGACAAGCAAGACACTGAATCCAAGTAGGTGATAAGTACCTTAAACAGTTACAAGAAAATAATCAAGATCACAAATGAATAAGTTTCTCAGATGGTCAGGAAGAAGAAAAATATTCTAGAAGAATTGACTTTTAATAAGAGGAGGTTTCTAGTAGAGATTCTTTGGAGGATATGGAACACTTTTATTTTTTTTTTTCTTTTTCTTTTCATATACTACATTTGTGCATTTTTAGATATTCTCTTTTTTTTTATTTTTCCTTTTTTCTATTATAGTTTCTCGAAATCAATTTCTTGGAGGATAATAGATAGTGACAACTTGCTGACAATGATAGATAAGTTAGGAGGGTATTTCAGAGCAAAATATTGTCTTCAAGATCATATTTAGAGACTTATGTTTATTGAGAATTGAAAGCTGTTGACAAGTGAGTCAGCATGAGATTTAGTTTAGCCATAATATAATTACTTAATATATCTTTAGTGATTTTCTTAAAAATTAATAAACATATTATGCTGGCCTAACTATAGATTTAAAAAAACAAAAAACTATTATTAATATTAGTTCTATTTAAAAACTTTTGTTTGATTAAAATAAAAATTTGAAAATTTTAGATTTTATTTAATAAGGTTTTTTTATTACTTGAAAAACTTAATAAGAAATAGGTATTAACTATTTATATTATCTGTTGTTTATTTTTTAGTATTATAATTAATAATAAATTTTTAAATATTTAATATATAAAATTTTATAAATTGCATATATATTTTTTAAAAATTAAAATTTATTGTTTTTTATTTTATTAAGAAAAAATAAAAAAAAAATATAAATAAATAATTTATATAAGTCAGAAAAAAAAATTATTTGATATATTGTTACTTCTATAAAATTTAGCAAAAAATAAATAATTTATTAAATTAATAATTTAAATAAATTGATAATAATTAATTATTATATATATACAATATATATATTTTTTGAATATTTGCAATCAAGCTAGATTGTAGTTTATTAATCAATTGAAAGCATATAT